CTCCTCCTCCTCCTCCTCCTGCTGCTGCTGCTGGGGCTCGGCTCTGGCTCGATGGCGGCGCCCCGAGATCCCTGCGGCCGGGGCCGGCTGTGGCTGTCGTCAGATCCCCGTCTGTGAGTGAGACGCCAGAGGACAGGCTCGGGTTTGGGAAAGACTGAAAATCCGGAACCACTCACTCACTCACTCACACGCAGACACACGCAGACACACGCACGCACTCCCGCACTCCCGCTTCCTCTCCCACACACTCACCCCCCACCTATATGCACACGCACACACTCACACACTCACACTCACACACACAAGGCAGGGCGAGGCGATGCCAGGAAACATCGATCCCGCTGAACAAACTGAACATTAACAAACTCCTCCTCCTCCTCCTCTCCCCGCGACCTGATGACAGGGAGAGATTTACTCCCCAGCCGCAAAGCGCCGGGCAGAGGGAGTCTGTTAAAGGGACAGTGTCCTGCCGGGGACAGGGGCTGGGGGCCCAGGGCCCGGCGCGCCCGGCTGGCTCTCTCGGGGCGCCCTCGTCGTGGATGGCGGGACGCCCCTCCGGGAGGAGGCTGGGGGCGGGGCGGGGCGGCCGGGAAGCCAGAGCACGGTGGTAAACTTGGAGCTGGGCAGACAGGCTGGGGGGGTCAGGCTGTCTGACCGGACCACCCAGGTTTGCTTGGGGCAGGGGGCTCGGTGGGGACCTTACTTACCCAGGGGTGACTCCCATATTTTAAGTCTTAACCAGACTCCCCCAAATTTCCTGCTCACCTGCCTGGCTTAAGTTTCCCTCTTCTGTTCCTTCCACTGTCCTGAAGATCAAGGGTGGTCTCCAAAACAAAATCTGCCTTCTTGGACTCCTTGGGTATGGTCTTTTTCTTTCCTTTAAGCAGTATTTACTGAGCACCTACTCTGTACCTGTTCAGGAGACACAGCAGCCATAGAGAAAGGAAAACTCCTAGGCTTTTGGTATTTATATTCTAATGGGGGACAGTACACAAATCCCCTGATGGCCCATCTTTGCTTAAATGTCGCCCTCTCCCTAAGGTCTACCTTATTTATAATTTCATACACATGCCATCCTATTTTTTCATTTTATTTTTCCCCACCGGGCTTCTCAATGCGGCACATGTTATGTACAGTTTTCTATTTGGTTAATTGTCTGAGATCCCCTCTAGAATATAAGCTGTGTTGGGAGGAGGGATTTTTGCCTCTTTTGTTCTATAATTATCTCCAATGATGACAAAGCTTAAATCTCATAGTCAGGCTGCCCTAAAACATTTGTGCAATGAATGAAAAGTAAGTAAATGCACACACACACACATCCTAACTTCAGAGTGGTAAACTCCATGAAGATGGTAAAACTGGGTGTCCTCGGAGTTTGACAGAGGAGGTGGAGGAGGAGGAAGAGGAGGAGGAGGAGGAGGAAGAGGAGCTGCAGATCCCCAGTTGGGACAGATTGAAGTTAGCCTTTATCACTGAGGGCTGTTATTGGCCCAGGACCTCTCCAGGTGTTGGGGGCCCATCTGTGAACAGGTAGAACCTGAACTCTGCCCATATGGAGCTCTCCTTCCGGTGGGGGTGGCAAACAGGTAAGAAGCAAGGGACATAGGCAGAGAGGAACTGGCCCTTGGACCACTCTGAACCCGGACTTGGAGGTCAGAGGATGGTGAATAGGTGAGACTTCCTGGGGAAAGTGGAGTCAAAACTGAGTTCTAAAGGTGGAGAAGGAGGTCGGTGGAAAGGAAACTGATACAAACACCTTGATCTTACAAAGACAGGTGTTGTTGGGAGCATCTGCTTTCTACACTAAGCTCCTTCCCACTCTGGAGGCCACTCTTAAAGTGAGCCTGGCTGGGCAGGGGGGTCCTTACCCTAGAATAAGGTTTTCTAACTTTGACTCTATTAAGATCCTGGCCAGATACTTCTCTGTTGGAAGGGCATCCTGGGCAAAGTAGAACGTTTAGCCCTAGCTATTACCCGGCATTGCCCAGTGCCCTGTGGGTGCATAATTGCCCCTGCCTGAGCACCATTGCCTTAGGCTTCCTAAATCAGAAACTTCAGGGTAAAGGACTAGGAATCTGCAGTTTGAACAAGCAACCTCCAGCCCCAAGTGACTCTTCTGCTCCTGCAGTTTGAGAATTTTTGCCAAAAAAGGCCTTTTGGCTTCTCTGGGAATCTGACAAACCCAGTACTGCTAGCTACAAAACCAAGTCATGCTTAGATATTAATATAATTTAGTCTTTTGGGGTGATTTGTCATTGTGGCTACTGGGATGAACTTTTACCCGTCCTTCTCCTTGCTATCCCATTCCTGTACCCACCGGAAGTGAGATTTTACGGTATGTCCTGGGACACCTCCTATGAATAACCCACCCACCTACCACCTTTGCCTTCCCTCCTGGGCAACTACCAGGAAAGAGTCGTTCCACTGATATCTTTCATAATAGTTCTTCTGGGCTGTAGGAAACTTAACTTTCTCCATCCAACTTGTCAGCCACAATGTGCCATTGTCACCATTTGCAAAGTGCTGTTTAATCACTGTCTACATTGCCACGTGCTTCTCCACCTCACAAGTCTAGCATGGGTTGCTAAGTCACCTGCCCTAAAATGACCTCCACCTGTGATCAGCCTCACCTAATCCCAGCCTAGTCCTCTGGCAACTGAGGCAGAGAAAATCCCATTTCACCATTGACAATATCAGCAAAAGATTATGAATTCTAATTATTCAGTAAACCTTTACGGGGCACTGTGCTAGGGACCCTTGCCTATTGTGCAAAACCCCAGGAACCACACAATTATGGGGTCAGGAGATACAGACTTAAGGCCTGAACAGAAGGAGGAGAGGGGCTTCAGGGAGCTCACTGTGAACTTACATCTCCTCTAGAAGCCCCAGGTCCATTGAGCTAGTGTTTGCCTTACACTCAGGCCATTCCTTGACAAACACCCCCTGTGCGCTTCAGGTGTACCAGGCATCGCCCCAAGAACAGGACACAGCAATGCATAAGGCAGGGCCTTGTCCTCCAAAAGTTTCTATCATAATGGCATCCAAATGCTGGCCACAAGGAAAGTGGGAGCTTGGCAGCTAGATCTAGTCTTGGGGAGAATAAAGAGAAAAATAGTAGTTGAATCTGAGCAGTGCAGCTTCTTGCAGTTTCTTTGCAATGTTCTCAGAATGTTACTTCCACTCCCGCCTGGTCCTTAATAGTGAGCGATACAAAGAGGGACTCTTAGTAACTGTAATACCTGCCTTTTGGCTGGCTACCGACATATTGTTGAGCCCACACTTCTGGAGTGTTATTGCGGAAATCTGTATTTTTTCTTATTGCTACCAAAGTAGAACAATTCGTTTACTTACCAACAAGGAATATTATGGCTCTGCCAGAGGGATGCGTAACACAGTGATACCCAGATGTTTAGGAGTGGTGTAGAAATGACATGAGGTAACACCGAATCACACAGTGAGAAAGTTATTCCCTTTCAATTATCTTTCCATTTGAGATCTCCATTTAGGGTTGGCCATCTTTTCTGTACATAACACTTGCTAACTTGTATTCTTAACCAAGATACCGTGGATCTCGGACTCAGAAGCTTGGGCTGTAGCAAGTGCAACTAGCTGAACTTCTACAGAGTAGTTTGTTTTCACTGAGTTCACTTTAGGGCTTAGCTTCTACTTTAGTGAAAGAAACCTCACTCTGCTTGTGGTAGCAATCTCAAGTTTAAACACATGTATTTGAATCTAAAAAAGTAAATATATGTAAGAGCCTAGAAAGAAGATGGACAGAGCAGGTGGGCATCAAAATGATGGCAAAATGTGGGAAACTGCCACTACAACTGACTGCTCCAACTGGCAAAAGCACCGTGTAAGCCACAGGCTGTGGATCTTAGGGAAACTTCTTCCAAGAATTGACACTTACAACAATGCTAGGTTTAAGTCTTGAGGAACTGAGTTTCCCCTAATCCTGGACTCAAACCCCGGGGATGTGTAGGGGCACAAACTGTCTGGATGCAGCTCAACTGCATCTCCCAGAAGAGTCCTTCCCACCCTGGCAGAACATCGGAATCACCTGGGGAATGTTTATTATTATGAGTCTCCTTTTTAAGGTAAAGAAGCCCAAGCCCCACTCCAGACTTACTAAATTAGATCCCAGGGAGGGGCCAGAAAATCTGACAATTCCATGGTTGCCAGGTGATTCTGATAAGGTGCCAGGTATGAAAACCTTTCCTATACAAAAGTCGGGTTTTTGTATCAAGTGAGCCAAGTCCGGAGAGTTTTGTCGCATGCAAGGAACACAAAGCTCACCTAATCTTGGGTTTCCTCAGAAGGTTGGTCGAAAGGTCCTCTCCGGGTCCCCAGATGCCCGTGAATTCTCCATTTGGTGAACTTTATACTGAGGGGTCATCTTGGTTGCCATTCGTTTGCCTGTCTTATCCCTTGACTCCAAGCTAATGCACTGAAAACAGACATTTGCTGAGTGCCGACCGTGTGTAGGGCACTGCCCCGATCGATACCAGGCTGCCCGGAGACGAGCATATGGGGGGTGATCTCCATCACAGCCACATCTTTCTGGGACGAGATTTCTTCCTCCGACAAGATTCTCCCTCCAAATTGGCTTCTCCACTCTAAGCTCAAAGATTCCCTGTGGTACCCACTCTATCTCTCCTGCTCTGTGAGTATCTTCTTTGTGTATTTGCCTGTTTTTTATTTATCTCCCCTAATGAAATATAAGCTCGATTCATCGCTATATTCCCAAATTCAGTGCATAATGGTGCTCATTAAAAAAAAAAACCCAAAAACCTATAGAATCACTGAATACCAAGGTAGGGATATTTGCAAGGAAGGACGTACTTTTAAAAAAAACACCCTATGCCCACATAGTTTTTGTTAGATACAGGTCTACAGCATTTCTTCCTGTTTGTCATTTTTCCAGTTGATGCTGTCATCCCTTGCCGACTTCTCTGCCTTTTCTACCATTTCTCTCTCTGGTCTCCTGTCTCCTCCACATTCTCTGTAACTTCACCTCTTCCAGACAGCACTCCCAAGGTAATCCCATGTGGTTCACACTTCTCAAATCCATATTCTCTTACGGTGCAGAGATTCAAGGTGGACACCTGGAAGTACCCTAGCAAGGAGAACTAATTTCTGCTTGGATTTCGGGTGATAGTTACCTGGAACAGTCAGCCTCCATGGCTTCTGAGAGGCTGAGATGGTTCTTAACTAGGGTTCTGGTTACTTCAGTGCATGCATTCAGTCTGGAAATTAATTCATTGCACACTTCCACTTCGTGTTCTTTTTCGTGAATGTGTAATGCTTCAAGAAGAAAAGGCAGCATGTTCAAACTTTGCTGCATATTGTAGTCAACTGGGGTGACTTAAAAACTCCCAATGGGTGTGCCTTACCCCGGAGCCTTACTTACATCGGTCAGCGGGGTAGGATCCAGCCTTCAGGAGTTTTTAAATCTCTGTGGTGATTCCAGTGCATGGCTAAGTTTGAGAGGCAGTCCACCATGCGATTTTGCCCTTGGGGATATAATTCATTGCCTTTCTCTTGTGTCATTTAACTAGTTTCTCTCCTCCTGGTGAAACTTTTAAGGTAGCAATCTGTGGTTAATTCTCTCTCTTGTGTGATACCTGGTACAACTTTGTGCTGTCAGGGGCTGGGGCAAGGGTGACCCTGGCTCTCAGAGAGTGGGAGGAGGAAACCCCAGTGGGATGATGGGGTGGTGGATAAGGGGTAGGGGCAGAGCCCACTTTAGGGTTAGGGACAGGAAAAGAATCTCTGAGAAGGCAACATGGAAACAGAGCTGGAAGCAGCCCGCAAGGAACCAGGGCCAGAAATTGGAAGGGACATCTGGGCCTCTGAACGGAAGGAGATTCTAGGAAGCAGCCAGGGAGAGGAAAGCAGGATGGCCAGAGGAGAGGGGCTGGGCTCTATCACAGAAGAGCTCCATCCTCACCTTCATGTCAAGTTCCAACGTTACCGTCTCAGCTATTGACGAATGGTAATTCATTTATGTATTTTCTGAAATCACCTAGTCCATTAAAGACCCTCTCCAACACAGGGGAAGGTATACCTTGTTCTACTGGGTGGAAATGTGTTTTGTTGTTGTTGTTGTTGTTTTTGGTACTGGGGATCGAACTCTGGTCCTTGCACTTGAGCAGCAGGCGGCGAAACCACTGAGCTAAATCCCAGGCCCAGGAAATGTGTTTTTTAAAAGCAGTCGAGGTTGATGACAATAAAATTTGTCAATGCTTAAGCCATTGGCAAGCTTGCTTCTCAGAATAAATCCTCCCAAAGTTATCAGGTTCTCTTCTGACAAACCATTGTGATATGGCTAGGTATAGAATTTTGCAACTGCAATTAAGCATCATATGTATTTTAAATAGGATGGTTGCTAAGTGGACAGGTTGGGATACGGAGCTGTTAGATTTAACATGTATCACATTTCTCCCTTAGAGTTGGCTCCTTATGGCTGGTGACTGTTTTGCCGCTGCTGAAGAATCCAGACCAAGTCTTGGGCCCAGGAATCCATTGCTCAACTTCATTAGCAACAGGAAGACATTAAGTGAAAGTAAAGACTGGAACAGCCCAGAACCATGTGACAGGCAGCCTTTAAGTCCTGGGCTCTGGTATATTTTATGCCACCTCAACTGTGCATCAAGCTCCACTTCCTGGACTCATTAGAACTGTGTGCCCAAAGGTGCCCCTCAACTTTCAGAAGCAAATAGAGAATGATATAATTCACTCTGAGGACACCTTTCTGTGTTATCCGGAGCTTGTCTTATCTATTATGATTAGGCGTTAAGCATCCTGTTGTCCTTAAAATTTCATGAGATTCTCCCCCTGCTTGCTAGGTTTATGTCAAAGTGACTTGTCCTAAAGGCTGTTTTTACCCAACAATACAGCTTGTCTTTTCCCCTCAGCTGTTGCTGGGCTGTCCAGCAAGTGGAGGAGCCCACAGACTTAAAATGGTTGGATACCATGGGAGCATGGGCAGCCCACTTTCAGAAGGAATCTCTTGCTCTTGCTCCCTGGTGATAAACATTTGAAGACTGAGATAAAATGTGCGTGCAAGGGGCCGGGGATTTAGCTCAGTGGCTCTGACACCTGCCTCACAAGCACAAGGATCCGAGTTCGATCCCCAGAACCAAAAAAAAAAAAAAAATATGGTGCTTGCAAGTAGTTTATTTGGGAAATAAGGCTAGAAACCCCCAGTGGGAGGAAGGGAAGCAGCTGGCTTGGGTGTGGCAGCCAGCAAGTCCTCCCCTTGACAGCCAGGGCTGGGGAAGTGGTGAGGACTGAGTTCCTCCTGAGGTGTTCCTCCTAAGGGTGGGAGAGCAGCGGTGTTCAAGCTTCTTCTGCCGGCCATGGGTCTGGCACTGCTCCTGGGCTTCCTTGCATCACAGGGGCCCTGATACTGGTGGCAGCTGTCAGTTCCATGGCTACGTGAAGCAGGGGCACGGTACCAGTGATGCCTTCTAGATCAGAGCTGCCTGAACTGTGTGACCTGATGAGGGCAAGGAGGGGCTGCGTTCATTGCCATGTCCTCCCCTCTCAGTGTGGCGCTGGACACAGGAAACACCATGGTGCAGCAGTGAGCCCGAAACTCAGCTGCATGTCGCTCTGGATGTTTTCTCTCTTCTGGCTGATAATGAAGAGCTTGGTTCTTGCTTCAGAGTCTTTTGTCTTCCTGGGTTTGTCAGCCTCCTTGTGGACATGGGCCTCTTTCTTCCTCCCTGTTGGGTCCACAGTGGGACTATGGAGCAGAGTTCTCATTCTTGTCACAGCTTGAGCTTTTGAGCAAAATCAGGCATGTGCTCTGACATGTATAAGTATGTTCTTAAGCAAAGGATTTGAAAATTAGGGTTGTCCCGGAAACCCTAAGTCATGTGATCACTGTGTGTAGGCCAGGGAGGCATCAGGGAAGAAAACTGGGCATGGGTTTGGCATCGTGGAGTCCAGCACTTAGAGAAGGATTTTCCAGCTTGACCAGGTTCTCTAACTTCTTTGGACCTCAGTTTTCTCATCTGTGAAATGGGGATAATCCTATCACTGACCCCATTAGGGGTGTAGAAAGAACGCTACGAACAAATGTAAACCACTTAGCACACTAGATACATGGTGAGCCCTGGGAAGCACTTGCACATCGCTAGCCTTTTTATAAGCATCTGCTCATTGGCTGTTGTTCAGGGAGAGCTTTCAGATCTAGCTGAGGTCCGATCTAATCTGTACCCAGGGCTAAACTCATGTTAGCTCAATATTCTACATCTGCAAGGGAACCAACTTACAGGGATGCCCACGAAGCTGGACTCTCATGCAGACATCAGGCAACAGCGCACGGAGTCAAGCCCCCTGAGATGGTGATGTCCTTACCCCTCCACCAGCATGGCGCGGCCCGTTTCCCGCCCATGTCTGGAGCGCCTGTTCTGTGCCAGGCCTCAGCTGCCTGCAGAGGGCGCAGCAGGAAACACCGCACCTGCCTGGCTCTTAGCGGCCTTAATCAGGGGCAGGACAGGCAAATGATAGCAATGATTACACAGGAGACGACGTCTATGGAGCACTCGGTGCCAAGCACTGTTTTATGCACTTTGACATAAAAACATATCCATCCTTGAACAATTTGGCCAGGTTCAGTGCTTCTGTTGTCTATATTTTGCTTGTGGTGAAGCTGAGGCATGCTCAGGTTGGTTAACTTCCCCAAGGGTATAGAGAGAGCAAATGGAGAAATTCACATGCAGAGCCTCCCTGGTGGCACTGGCTCCTGTATTCTTAACCCCTGTGCTCTGCATCCTCTTGGTTATGCGGTGCTTCTGCGACTTCCCTGTCACCCAGTGCCTGCTCCTGTACCACACTGCTTTGCTCTGTTCACACTCTGCAGCCCAAGGATCTTATGTGTGCGTGTTGTCGTCATCTCCTAGAGAGTTAAACAGACTCCCGGGCTCCTCCACCTCTGGAAGGGGCACAGCTAAGTGGCCTGTGGTCTGAGAATGGTTTTTTTTTTGGTACTGGGTATTGAACCCAGGACCTTCTCACTGAGCTACATGCTCATCCCATTTTAAATTTTTTTAAATTTTGAAAGAGGATCTCAAAAAGTTGCTCAGGCTAGATTCAAACTCAGGACCCTCCTGCCTCAACCTCTCAGAGCGCTGGGTTTTTGTCGTGCGCCACCCTGCCTGACTAGAAAGAACATGCATTTCTAACAATTGTCTAGGTGACCTTGGAGCTACTGGTTAGATTGAAGCTTACATTTCTGGGGCCTCAGCAGGATGATGTTGCCCTCCCTCCCCCAGGGGACACCTGGCAACATCTGGAGCCTGTGGGGTGGTCCTACCCCAGGGGTGTTTCTGGGTGAGGCCTTTGTGGCAGTCTCATCTTGGGAGGCTGCCCAGCATCCTGCCGTCTCCAGCAAGCAGAGTGATCTGATCCAACCGCCGAGGGGGCAGAGCAAGGACAGCACTGCCGGGCATAAGGGCAGAGATCTCTGTGTGTGCACAGGAAGTGTCTGGGGGGCTTGTTGCAAGTGTGGCTTTTGATTCAGTGAGACTCGTGCATGTCTCAGTGGCTCCAAGTGGGGAGGCTCTGAAGCTGACCCAGGGACCCCACCTTGAGTAGCCAAAGCAACAATGCACCCCGGGAAGGTAAAGGTCCCGAATCAGGGCTCCAGAAACAAGAGATTTCTCAGAGATGTAACATGAGCATCAACTGTACTGGTTCAGCACAAACGTTTGGTAATCCTCTTTAATAATCCTCTTTGAGCTCACCCTGTTGTAAGTTTTGTCCTGAAAGCAACACCAAGCAGGGGGCTGGAGGGATGAAACCCTCCCCTCTGCTCCTGGCGACAGGCAGGGCCTGTTTGAAACCAGGGGGACAGATCCTCATCAGAATCGCCCTGCTTCAGTCCCGCAGCATCAAGTGGAGCCTATTGTTGCCTGGAATAGTGGCTTCCTTCCAAGAGCTTCGTGCTCACGGTGGGCTTTGCGTCGGCCTGACTTTCAGGTCTGCAAAGGCGAGATGAGAAAGTAGCTGCTGTGAAGATGGTTGCTCTCTTGGGAAAGGGCTAAGGGAGAAAATGGACTCTCGGCGCCCAGCCCTCCTGAGACAGCATCCCAGCCCCTGTGATAAATGGCAGCATTAACAAGGTTTGGTTGAGAGGGAACCTACAGATTTATGACTTCCTGTGTCCGCCAGCAGATGTCATTATGGCTGACAGAACAGAAGGCCTTTCAAGAGCGAGCTGGGGCGGGGCTAGCAAGAGGGGAGAAAATAAAATGCAAGGAAGAAGCCAAAACTAGGGACTGCTTGGCGGTCTGGTGTCCGTATTGTCATTTTAGGGACACTGGGAAGTTTTACAGTAAACCAAGCATCTCCTAGCGTCTCTGAGACCCAGCCTCTGAGATTCAGGCAGAAAGAAACTCTCGAATGAAAGACGAAGTTATTGGTTTTTCCTCAGATAAGAAAACCTCTGAGGTTTTGTTCCCTGAAACATTCTCTAGGATAAAATGAATACTTTGCACTGAATAAACATATATTTTACCCCAAGACATCATTTTGATGGGTTAAATGTATTCATTTTATAAATACAGCCGCTCATCCTGAAATTCCTTTGATATACATATAATTTTACTCATTTAAAAAATTGTTTTATAGGATGTCATTGGTATTTTGTGTGCCAGAATTTTGTGTGGTATTGAAAAATGGCATACATTTGGCATTTGTCAAGGACCAGAGACCCATATTAGGAAGTACAACTGCTAACATGTACTTAACAGTAATTATGGGCCACATTTCCTCCTTTTAATCTGTACCCAAAGATTTACCTCTGTGGACAAAGAAGGCTTTAATTTTTCTTTTTTTGTGTTGACACTCTTGACTAAGGAACATTTGACGGTATCTCATCCTTAGGGTTCAGGTGAGCAGGGCCCCAAAATGCAGCCAGAGGGAATGGCTCTGATTCCATATGTTGGGCTGCCTTTTTAGTTCTGTCCAAGTTTTTCCCTATCCTGCACGTGGCAGAAATTAAGAGTCACAGAAGACTTTAGGGAGGACAGCAACAGCATCCCTTTGACTCTTAGACTCTCCAAAAGAAATCATTGCAAGTAAAAACTTGACCTCAAATCTTCTGTAATTATAGCCATCATGTTGATATTTGTATTACAGTGAATATGTGATATCAGTGAATTTTTATTTTATTTTTTTGCAGGGCCAGGGTTGAGCCCAGGGCTCTGTGCATGCTGGGTGAGTACTTTACCACTGAGCCACATCTCCAGCCTCTCATTGAGATTTGCAAAATAATACTGTGGGTGCAAAGGTGGCCACCGCCACAGCCCTTCTGCAAACTGCTCTGGGGAGTCAGGTGGTGACTCACTACTAACCGGGGCTGCAGGTGCTGGCTTTCCCACTCTCTGTCTGCATTATCATGGGCCACTCACTTGTGTTCTTCCAACACATTTTCTCAGCGGTGAAAGGGGGGGTGCAGAGTGCACTCTTAGAGTTTTCATCTAATGAGCATCGAATGCAGTGTTTGTGAAGTGATTAGCCACTTGGCACAGGGGAGGAGCTCGATAAATTAGCTATTGTTATAATGATTAATGTTAAAATATCTTCCCTCTTTATTGTTTCACAGGTAGGCATGCCAACTCCTGAGCTGATTCGTGGGTCACCTAGAAAAGAAATCCAATAATAATAACAACATTAATTGCAGCTGTCACATATTGAACACAGACAAAGTGCCAGACACTGTGCTAAATGCCTGACATGCAAAATCTATTGACTCCAATCCATATAACAACCTTATAAAGCAAGGTATTATTACTTGCATTTGCTATGTAAAGAAGCTCAGATTGGAGGGTTTGTCAGTGGTTTTCAAACTTGAGTGCACAAGAAGCTGAGTTCTCTCCCAGAATTTCTGACTCAGTAGGTCTGGGCTGGGGCCCCAGGATTTCCATTTTCACAAGTCCCCAGGTGCTGCTACTGCTGACCTGAGGGCCACGTGGGAGAAACATCAATTCAAGTTGGCACAATGAGTAAGTGAGAGAATGAGTTTCCAAAATTAAAAATCTGACTTGGAAATATACTCTTAGAAATCTATATTCCTTCAAATTTTCTAACATTAAACTTTTGAATTAATAGCTGGTTGCTGCATTCACAAAGCACAGTAGCTTGGATGGCTGCTTATTTGTATTAAATGTTCTTTTCCATGAAGTTCTTCATGGCACAAAACAGTTGGTGATACCTTCAAAGGGGAGGATTTCAGGGACATTTGCAGAAGGAGCATAAAGTGCTTAAGTCACCTCTACTTGGCCATGCTTGAGATCAGCAGCCCTGATGGCGTAAAGGATTTGCTAGGGCTGTGACCCACTTCCAGCTGCAAGATTCATCAGAGCTTCCAAGATGGAGCCCAGCTGAGCAAGCCACACCTGGCTACCATCTGTGCCTGAGAGGCATGGTGTTACCTGGGTTCCCAACCAGGAAGAGCTCTCAACAAGTACCCAACTTGGGCATCAGAGGGCTCTGGATCCATTGAATATTGCTCAGGTGAGCCATTGCATCTAGTCAGCCTGGGGGACCACTGGAGCAAGCTGCCATTGGTATGAAAACTGGGATATGTTTGGGTTCACATTGGATGGTTTGGGACTGCAGGAGAGGAGCTTTCCAGAAGCATGTGGTGAGAAATATGAAAGGAGACTGAGGACATAGGGATAGAGCTACAATAAAAGCTGAAAGTCCCTTAGTGCATACCAGTACTCTCGCAAAAGGTCATTGGCACCTTTATTTGGTTGTGAATGCAAAGAACTGGCATCCAAATATGTAAGCAAAGTGCACATCAAGAAATGTAAATACTCAGGGAAAAGAGCTAAACTGAGGAAAACAGTGAGTGCCATGGACAGTGAGAGAAGCTGGCCGATGGGCGACTGCAGTGATGCAGGATGGAGGGACAGGGTACACACTGGATTTGCTCTCAAGAGCCTCAGGTCCCAGTGCTAACTCTATAGATTGAATTGGTTGATTTTTGAGGGGCCTTCCTCTTCTATATACATGTATGTATTTATTTGTACCTTCACTCATTCATTCAACATTTTTTTTACTAAGCATATATTATGAGGCAAATACTTTTATAGACACAGGCAGTAAAAGCTCAGACACCAGTTTCTGCTGTCCTGGAGGTTAATCATCAACGAGTGAGACAATATACAAAATAAATTGTATAGTATATTAGGCCATAAAAAGTTCCAAAGAGAAAAGTCAAAATGGAAAGATGATATGGATTAGCAGGTGGTGTGGCTGAAATATGGCTTGTCTATTCCCAACTACATTTATCAAGGTTGTTATGGTTTGGATCTGAAATGTTCCTCTAAAGTCTCATGTGTTCAGAGGTGGGATTTTGGAAAATGATTCAGTCATGATCATTCTAATTTCATCAGTGGATTAATCCATTGATGGATTCATAATGTGATGGCATTCCTGGGAGGTGACAGAAACAGGAGGTGGGAACCAGTTGAAGGCAGTGGGTGATGAGAGTGTTATGTTGGGAATTATATCTTGGTTCCAGCCCTTTTCCCTCTGACCCTTTCATTCTCTCTCTGTTTCCTAGCCACCATGAGTTGAGTAGCTTTCCTCTATCACACCTTTCCCCCATGATATTTCTGCTGTACCACAGGCCTAAAAGCAATGGAAGCAACTAACCATGGACTGAACTTCTGAAACCATGAGCCAAAACAAATCTTTGTTCTTATAAATTGATTTTATCAGGTATTTTTTCAGAGCAATAAAATGATAATACAACCATAATAAATACACTTTGGCTACAAAGAAAAGAAAACTAAGTCACACTGATCTAAGGATAAAATGGAAAAATTTTGGCAGTACATAACCCAGAAGTCCTGCAGTTGATAGTTTTAATAGGCACTGTTACTTTTCCTTTCAGCACTCACTCCATTGATGCTTTCTGACAAAGCTCAGATTTTCTGGGGTATCTAACTCTTTCTCATTTGACTTCTCTACCTCTGGGCAAGCAGGCCCTCCCACTAGCTCATGGCTAAGCCAATCAGCAGTCTTCGTTCCCCCATTGATCACAGTGATTGGTTCTTGAGAAGACAAAGGTCCAAAAAAGTAGAATATCAGAAATTCCACCTGAGTGCTTTCTTTTGCTGAACGTGAAGGGGCAAAATCATTGCTGGCAGCTATCTTATAACCAAGAAGAGGAGGAAGCTGCCTTAGAGTGAAGTAAAAAAGAGATGAAGAGTAAAAACAAGAACAAAAATTAAAACCCAAGATCTGGATGACACCATTGATCCAGTGAATAAACATTCTGGAGTCAATCTGCCCACGTCTAGACTTATTGTTAAATGAGTCAAAAACAATTTTCCTTATGACTTAGAGGCATTGAGTTGGGCTTTCTGTTATTTTAAATAGGAGGATAAAATATCTAGCTCAGTCACAGTTATAACCAGATGCTCGCTCATCATGGGCCTCTACTTTTCTTCATGTGGGCTTCACTCAGCCTGGCTTACCCACAGTGTCCACGGGCAGCCTCGTCCCCAGCAGCAATGCCAGGCCTTCAGACCTCCTGGCTGTGTTACTCTGGGTCTGTATCAGTCTTTGAACCAAGCACTGAGGTTGGGGAATGGAAAACCACCAATCTGGGATGGATGCCCTCTCCTGGGACCAGGGCTGCAGCCTAATGCATTTACATCACAATGTTTGAGAAAGTTGATTCTTCATATTAGGGAATTGTTACTAGAAACTTGGGACATGGATGTTGGACCATCAGAAAGCATGAAGATTTGCCGTAATATTTAATTTTCTATTTGGACATCTTACATGTCCCACTACAAAAGGAAAAGTTAAGGTGAAGTGATTGCTCCCAACAGTTTTATCACCAAAGACCACCTCTCTTGCCATTCCCTGTTGCCCACTGCTGCCACCAAATTAAACTAACTTAGAAATATTTTGTCTGTAATTCACCTATGCACCCATCACTACTTTCACGCACTAGTTGTGGAGTATCCATTAGCTTCCAGTCTTGTTCTGTTCCATGAGAGCACAGCAATGACAAATGTTGGAAGAAATGTGATCACTCTGATCAATGACAAAAGAATTCAGGAGTTTGCTGGAGGTTTTCATTCAGTGTTAAAAAGCTGTAGCTGTAGTAGAAAACCCTTCATGCTCATGGTCTTTCTATTCTGCTTGGAAAGTAGGTATGAGAATGGGATGTCTGGAGCAGAGGCAGAAGATGTGAAGCCAGGAAGTGACGTGGATGAGGAGGAATTGGCAGGTTGAGCCTAGTGGGACAAAAAGAACAGTGAAGGTCTGGAGCCATGATGGTCAGCACAAACTCTAGGTCAGTGGGGAACCTAGACTCATACTCACCCACGTTTCTCATTAGGTGACAGAGCCTAGGTCTTCATTGCTCAAGGCACAGCAAGAGTATTCTGTCACAAAGAGTCAAATGCTTTCCTGATTGCTACAGTCAGATCCAGGAGAGGTCCCTGAGCAGCTTGTGATCTGAAGTTCTGTAGTGAACTGATAATTACGAACATCACCAGCGTCCATCCTGAAAAGAAAGCACTGGAGCTTATATCAGGGGACCTAATCATTCAAAGAAACTACAGGTATGCAACAAGCAATAATATTTCTTTAGTAGTTTAGAGAATTAGGTGAGAGATCCACATAGTAAATATTTTCCTGTTGCAGCCCATATTGGCCTCTGTTGCATCTACCCAGCTCTGCTGGTGCAGTGGAAAAGAAGACATAGACCATATGTAAATGAACAGGCATGGTAGTGTTCCAATAAAACTTTATTTACAAAAACAGGCAGTTGGCTGGATTGGCCAGTAGTTTGCTGACTCCCAAATTAGCCACTCACAATTGAGTGTGCAATAAAGACAGCAATGAAGGAGACTGTGTGCCCCTTATTAAAACACAGAAAACCAGTCATAGTCCTGCACTGCGAATTTTCCAATGCCAGGTCCTTACGTGCACACACTCTGTAACTCCCTGATGCATCTATCTCCTGCCTTCCTGTTCTCCCACAGCTATGGAGGATGAGATGGGTCAGGTAGGCATAGAAGCACTAATGGGAGCAGTTGGGAAAGTATAGAGCAGCCCTCTCTGATGAAAACAACACACCATGGTAATGTGAATCAGGCAAAGATACAAAACCAGCCCTGGATGATTTTTGCTAGAATTTTTGTGACCCACGTACACTGCGTTTGTCATCAGCTCAAAGACAGCAGTTGTGGTTAGAAGAAATCTTCAAACCACGTAATGTGTGCTGCACTGTGATTTATAGGGGGTGTGATTTATATTGTGAATTTTAAACCTTTTAATATACCTCACAAGAAGTTGTACAGTTCATAAAACATCACAAGAGGCTTCCAAAGAGAAACCCAAATGAAGAAAAGATACATTTTGCCATCTGAGTTTTGAATGGAGCTTCTGCACAGTGCTGAAGCCTGAGCTGATCAGGTTTGCTTAATCCTACCTTTCCCTGACAAGATGAATAGTTGTAGAACATAGCACCCTTTTCCGTATCTCACACCATGGATCTATTAGTATTGCTATTTATTGGAAAGAGGAGAGAGTGCTAATTTATACATACATTTGTTTTGTAAAAATTCTACTCCTATTCTCTGATTGGTCCAAATCCCCCAGAATATTACGTTTCTGTGATCTGTAATGTGGCTGGAAGGGGAAATGCTAAGTCGTTTAAGAATTTCAAATTCCTATACTGCCACTTGTAGTGAACTGTGTCATTTACAGAGCCATGCAGTTTTCCCCCTGCCCAAAATGTCACAAAAAGAAAAGTGATTCACAGCAGTTTACACATGCCAAACACATTTGTCGAATAAACAGCACAGAGCAAACTGCAATTGAAATACCACCCCGTAAAGAAACACAGTAGTTAATCTGATTTTAATTGAAATGTTGCATGTTGATACCTTTTGTTTATGCATGAGACAAAGCTGATATAAAGGAGAATAATGATGATAATCATATTCGAGGCATTTTGAAGGTTGGGACTTCTGAAGCACTTCAGGAAGAAAAGAAATACCACATGTACTCATGCTAAAGAAATGTTGCATTTGGTTTAGAAAATGCTTCCAATATGGTAATGAATCAGGTAAAATTTCCATTTCAGTGCAGTGCTGAATTGAGCTACTGTGTGCTTCAGGGAGCTATGTTTGGGCACTCGATAATTAAATAAAAAGCTGAATTATTGGATATAATGGACCCCAATTGTTTTTGGTGCCTAACTTTTATTCATCCTCCTCCTTTAAATAATACCATTTAGAATTTGCTTAGGGGAAGTTCATTTTCTACTGTGCTCAACAATGCCATTCTCGTGGTATGGCTCCATAATTTCTCAGGGATGAGCTAAAGCTAATAACCTCCCACACTCTCCTTCTGGCAACCAGGATTCGACCCAGGGTGGGTAAAACTATGTCAGAAGCAAGATCTGTAGGTGTGCTAGCATTCTAGGTAAAAAGAAGGGTTTCTTTTTTTCTTGAGAACCGCATAGGGGGAGCCATTTCCTCTGAAGTCTATGTAATATGAAGATAGGAAGATTTGAGTAGTGTCCTTATTACCAGAATGGAAGAGCCTGGAATTGGCAGTGGGATCCACTGAGGCTGAAAGAAGCACTAATACTGTGCAAGACAGAATATGAAAAATAAAGAAAAAGACTGACCTTTGATGACACTAGTTCCAGGTGTACCTGATGCCAGTTCTGCCCTTCACCTTTTCAGGGATACAAGACCATACATTCTGTTATTCTTCAAGCAGTTTGAGTTGATTTCTATCATTTTCAATGGCAAGATGTGGAACCCGTCCTTTAGTTTTGTCAAACCGAGGATTATATATCAAATATATTAATGTCCTTTCAATTAGTTATGCGAGGAAAATGGGATGTATGCAATGGGATGTATGCTATGGGTTTTGCTTTACTGTTTGGTTTACTGTATCATTTTCAGTTGGAATAAAAGGCATCCTAGGTTATATTAGTGTTAGTCTCCTTGTCCATACTTTGTGACACAGGTCAAGTACTACCTTCCTTATTAATTCATTACTGGAAAACAATTACAGACTGGCATTTTAGATCCACTGGGGCTACCCAGTGTGGTGTTAAGAAGCTGTGTGTTAGATCAGCTAGACATGATCTTTAACCCTGGTTCTATAATTTACTAGCTGTGTGACTTTGGGCAATTTACAAAAACCCCTAAGCTATTGCTCCCATTGTATAAAAATATTGTTAATAATAGCATCATATCTCAGATAATGCTTGAGAAGGTAAATGAGATAATGCATACACAGTATCTCACACAGAAAATGTTCAATAGATGTTGATACTGTTCCTACCGTTATCATACCATCAACAAACCCACTATGTAGAAATATCCCAATAAATCTGAGAGGCAATTATTCACTCAATAAGCATTTGCTATATGAATAATTAAGAAATTGATGAATTTATGATTGAATGGACATGAGTCAATTAAAGTGTGATTCATTGAAAAAGTGGAAGCTGGAAATTCAGAGATGAGACCTCAACTCGAGGGACCGGGCAAGAGGCTGAAAAGGAGCAGGAAAGGATGGAGAGGTACTCTGTGTTTTATGGGAATGCCCTTCCCATGATCTGTCTCCCGTCAGGTGGAATGTTCTGCAGTGTCGCTCCCTCCACACTCTCATTACTGCAGGTCATCTGTCGGGAGCTTTTTGATGGGCAGCTTTATAGACAGCCATAAAGCAGAACTTACAGCTAAAGTCATCATAGTTTGTTGAGCTCTGCGCTGAGGGGTCCACATTTTTCCTCTTCTCTCTGGGTCGTATTCATTCAGTGCACAGATGCAATTTAGCATAGATGACTTAATTCTGCATAATGCCTCCCTCTAGCTTTTGGGATAAAATTCCAGAGACCTGTAGTAAGAATAAACAGGGTGATTTGGACATTTGCTGAGTAATTATCTTAGTTCCAACCTAAAGGCTTGGCCAAGCCGACATAGCTTGCCATCTTGACTTAACCATCTCATCCAACCTTCACAACTTATGTGGAAGGTGCACTCATTCACTCAACTTTGCTGATGAGAAAACAGATGCATCAAGATTATACTACTTGTTCAGTGCCATGGGGTTAGAGAGTGGCCCTGGCAGGATTGGAACACAGGCAGTCTGCTCCTGAATCTTCTGCTACGACTCCACTATGAACATTGTTGTCCCTCTGCTTCCTCAAAGGACTTGCATCCTCAAAATGAACTTAACAAAAGTGAGTTTCCCGAAATAAAATTCTTCAAATGTGGATACACTAGGGACACTTTGAGATGATTTAAAAAGCTTATATTTATAGCTTTATCCAAAAGAGCTTGAAAGTATGTCCTGCTGATATTCCATTGATCCTTAGTAGCCAGGAGATAGGTACTGAGAACTGTAATCCAGGCGCAGCCTTGGAGTCCTCTGTTGCAGTCAGGGCACCACACAGTATTCTTGGTGGTGAGCACCTGAACTGCCAATCTCATGCTCACAGCAAGCTCAGCCAGGCTGGTGTTAGCTTCATTTCTGTTTTGTTATCTTTTCATGTCAGGCTACCTGAGAGCTATGCAATTTGTATCATCTCGGCCTCCAGCTTCACAGAGCAGAGTATAGAAGAGAGAGTGGGAGCTGACAACAGCTTAGTGACTAGCAGGCTGGCAACTTATACTTCTCTGGAAGTTATGCGTTCTCTTGATGCTGAGGAGAGGCTGCAGTCCTCAGTGGGGGATCCTTGTCAGCCATTTTTGTTTAATGTGACTCCGCACACTTCCTCAGTTGGCCTGGGAAAGAACACATGGGCTGAGTGAGTCCAATCACATTCTGTCTTCCCAGAACTTGAAATGAGAAACATTAAGTTTCTGTCACTGAACCTGTATCATGTAAATCTGAAGCAGCCATATTCCAGATGCTGGGATTAAGGGTGTGTGATTACTAAATTAGCCCACTGATTGGTTTGGCATAGTTCTGAGAGTGGATGATAGGCAGGCTCTCTCTGGGTGTGAGTACTACCTGCCCTAAGGGTGGGTCGCCTGGATACAATATGAGGGACAGAAAGAGGGCTATTGTGGTTGCTTGTTGTTTAGCTACTTTGCTGCCTTCTGCCTGCCATGAACTGTTTCTCCTCTGCCATGCCACCATGCTTGGGAGCCGGCCATCTATGAACTGAAACCTCTACGACCTGTGAGCTACAGTAAACGTTTCCTCCTTTAACATTGGGTGTTGACTATTTTATCTCAGCAATGAGAACTAAGTAACTAAGACAGGTGTAGCAATCTATAAGGTTAGAGAAGTAGGAAGGTTTGGAATTACCAGAAAACCTGTCTGTTATTCAAGAAGACAAATGACCACTTTGATGGAGTAAGATATACTTTCAGGAAATGGCTCATTGCCTATAAGCTAAGCATCACTACTCTGAGAATCCAAAATCCAAAATGTTCCAAGATAAAAAAAAAAAAAAAAGAAAAAAGAAATGTAAAACACTTCAGTCCCTCGCATTTTGTATGACTTGAATTAGATATAACGATGTTGTCCTTACTACAATCTAACTCAGTAGCTAAAGCGAGCAGGTAAAGTATGGAGTGGGAAAGGGGAGAGAAGCCAAATTTAAACTAGTCTAACGAAAGAATATTTTATTTCATTTTTTTGCTGGGATCTGAGAAAAACATGGATGGACAAGCTTTGGGCATGGCTGGGTCCAGGTGCTTCAAAGGTGCCACCAGGGGTCTGTCTGTCAGCACCTCTTGGATCCAGTTTTACTCATATTGGCTTCATTTCCAAGCAGAGTCACTGGATGTAGTATTTCCAGATATAATAAATAAAAGCACAGGCTGCCCTGATAAATTTGAATTTCAGTTAAATAATGATTTTCTTACTATAGGTGTATCCCATACAATATTTGAGACATATGTACACAGAAAACTATTCATTGTTTTAAATTCATTTTAAGGGCCCTCCTGTATTTTATCTGGACACCATATTCATAAGAGGTGGCAAAGAAGGCTGCAAATGCTTCTGAACTTATATTCACATAATGCAGGAGCCTCATGAGAGGGTACTTATGTTCTAAAATTCTATTACATGTAAAAAATCGAACTTAAACACCTGCTCCTAACTCCTCACTGTCCTGAATCCAATGGCCATTCGGGGATCCAGTGGATAAGTCAATTAGCACCTAAAGGAGGGCTTCCCCTTCTCTTCTCTTGTATAAAATGAACAGGTAAAAAGGAAATGCTTGTCAAAACAAATCTCTATTCAGTTTTCTCCATCTATGGGACAATTTCTGTAACGTGTCAATCATTTTGTTGCAAAATAGCCCCTCCAACACACAATCCACATTTTCAGATGACACCTGCCTGTCAGTCACTCACTAAATCAAAGCCAAATTTCAGGCCAAGCAAAGACCAGTTTGTCAATCATTGTGCCTGTCACATGTCCACCAGATCACCTGACAGCTACAACTTTCTACTCTCAAATAGAGTGGGTCTAGTTAAGCTTATTTGTATCCCCTAATTGAGTTCCTTTTCGGACCAGTAGCTTAGCAACTAATAAGTTATTTTCTGTGACAACTGGCCTAAATTTCAAAGCTTTCTTGACCATTGCCACTTGTTAGAAAATTGTTTTCCCTCAAGTGGCTAAACAGCAGATGTAAGATTTATTTAATGCTGAATTGTTCTATTATTTCTATTTATAAGCACTCCTCCACTGTTTAAAAGTAAACACAGAATATGTTGTCAAATAGACATAATTTTAAATAAGTATGAATTGTCTTGGAATTTTGTCCTGAAATCTCAAATTCTCCATTATTAGTAGTGTGAAATGATGGAAAAGAAGCCTAAAAGATAAGTCCTCATCATTTGTTAGGTTGTAAATTATTTCACTAGTGCATGCAGGAGTCAGTGTAAGATTATGTACAGTCGGTTCCACCTTTGCTTGTTCTGAAGGAACTTGGGAAGGGTGGGCAGCAAATTCTAAGGCCATTTAGAGAATAAACTGTGCAAATGTGAGAGAAAATATCAAACAATGATAATAATAATCTTAAAAAGCTGTCACAACATAGTCATTGTGTGTTCACTTGCTCAGACTAGGGGATGCCTGGGCAGCTGGTAAAACATTATTCCTCTCTGTGGGAATGTTTAGCATTGGAATTGGTGGATTGAGTAAAAAAGATTCAGGTGGGCATCTTCAATCCATGGGATACCTGAATAGAAGAGCAAAGTGGAGAAGGGTGAATTTGCTTTCTTTGCTTGAGCTGGGATACTCATTTCTCATGCTCTTGGGCATAGGCATTTCTGGCTTTCAGGTCTTTTGACTGGTGTGTACCCTTGTTGGATCACCTGATTCTCAAGCCCTGTGCTTGCTCTGGAACAAAACCATCTGCTTTTTGGGGCTTGTAGCTTGCATATGGCAGATCGTGGGGTTTGTCAGCTTTCATAAACATATGAGCCAACCCCCCATATTAGGTCGGTAAATATCTATGTATCTATCTATCCATCCATGCACCCATCCTATTCTATTGGTTCTGTTTCTCTGAAGAATCCTGACTAATACAGGGACTTTATTATTTCTTTGGTAGCCTGGCTTCCTAGTTCTCATCTCCATTTTAGAAAAATCTCCATTGCATAAAGAACAAGTGGGAGATGGTGCCTCTCACCACCCCTTTTAGAAGCTGAAGGAGTTAAACCTTCACTCTACCAACCCCCTGGGAGCTATGAGATCAAAGCTTGACTAGGTGAATGTGCCCATTCTGCGCCTTTAACTCTAGAGCTGTAGAGAGTTTGCGTTCACCCACGGTAGCTGTTCCAGTGTCCAAGGGCAGAGGCATCCACAGCATGTAGCAGTGTTATTTGGCCTGGATCATTCCTGCTAAAAGAAGAACATTGTGATTCTTGCCTCCCTCCTACTCTTGAGTTACCATGCTTCTAACCTGGTTCCAACTATTAATTAATTTTGGGACTCCTGATATACTTCAAGTG